GATAGATAGATAGGGAGATAGAGGGAGTGAGAGATCGAGCGAGAATGAGATAGAGGAGAGAGAGACCGAGAGAAATAGCGAGAAATTTCAGTTCTGTTCAAAAATCAGATGCACAAGAAGCGGGTTTTGGGCGCTAGTAACAAATAAGCTAGCTATTTTACCACCCACTTATCCATGCTCAGATTTGCAGGAATAAAGTATAGCATATTCCCGTTAACTTTCTGATTATTATATGTAAGATAGTACAATTTTTACTACCAAAATGTTCAAAAACCCACTATTAATTTTCAGAACTCAGTCAGTCTTACTGTAGTGCAGCCCCTTTCGTCAGCGCTTCGACTAGTTTCTCGGCGCTGGAAAAAATGTTTTATGGCCTGAAGATGGCTTCGTAATCTTTTTAGACCAAGAAATAAAACTTACGTATTTTACGGCATTATCGTTTTTATCATTATCATTTATTATCGCAATCTCTATAGCACACGAGACAGATCCAGCATCGATGTTGTAAGTATTTCATGAGGTACAGGAGCTGACTGCGGTAGAGATTTTCTAGAGTATCTTAAATTTAATATCAAAAAAAAAACTACCTTTGCCAAGTTTTAAAGTATTTTATAGCTCGAAACCCCGTTTAGGTGGGTTTCACAGTCTTGGAGAAATTTTCCAAGATGAGGGTCGACCCTGAAAAGTACCCAATATTTATGAAACAAACAGATAAGCATAGAACACAAAAATTTAAGTAAAACACTACAATTGGGATTTACAGGCAAAAAAATGCTCTTTTTATGATCTTTTTATGATTTAATGGTGGTTTGAACTTTTTCAATTTGGTGGTGGCTGATCCTGGCAAAAACCACGGCGTCGTAAAGATAACGGAAAAAGCAATATTTTCGAATTGTATAGTAATGGTATAGTATTTTTAAAGCATAAGAAGCGTGAGTGGAGAACAAAATCGATAAATTCTAAGACTGGGCTTAGTATTCGCGTTCCCGTTCCCGGCAGAGCCTATGGAACCTGGGGGTGCAAATCTTGCGCGGCCATCTCCGTGACCTACCGGCGAGGTGAGCGAGATGTGTATCTGGCCCATGTTTATGGGCTTTCCAGTCTTTAAAATCGAAAATTTTGACCGTTCATCTTCTTCAAGGGGTACCGATACCTTAAAAAAGCTATAATTTAAAGTTTAATTTTTTATAGGTCCAGACCGACAGCTACAAGCGGATCTTAAAGGAGCGGGCTAATTTGAGGGCTTTGCATTAAAAAAGACCAAAAATTTTATATGCCCTTAAAAGTGCTGTTGTCGACACCTAGCGGTGTGAAGGGGTAGATTTTCAGGCTTCGCTGTCGCTTTAAACCCCGAAAAAATCAACGGGTCTTCTTCACAGGCCCAGTTTAGCATCTTTCAAGGCGCTAGAAAGCCAAAGGGCGAAAGCTGAAATGGCGTGAACCCAGGGAAAATTTTGAATACCTTGTAAAGTTAGGTGTCAACACCCAGACGCGCAAAGGGTCGATCTTAAGGCTTCTCTGTCCCTTTCACCCCAAAATATTGACCGTTTAACTTCCATCGGCTCGATCATCCGAAACCCGACCACCTCACCCGCCTAATGAAATTTTAGGTTTTGAAACGGCCGGCCCCCCTGGAAGAGAAGGCCCACCCACAGCGTGGCCACTAATTAACAACGGCGGGCCCCCAGAATGGGACCCAACCCGGGTCCCATGCCCTTTGCTGCTTCTGCTTCTGGCCCGGGTGCGGCTGCTGAAATGAGCGTTTTTAGCGCCATCAAAAACGGCGGGAGCCTCATTTCCCTTCATTCAACTTCTTGGCGGCGGCCGGGCGTCATGTCGATGTCTAGAGCGTTATTGGAAAGTCGGACCTAAAATTGGTTTGAGCTGTTGATACCATATTCAGGCCTGATTTGGCTATAATTTTTTTAAATTCCATGAATTGGCTGAACCATAGCTAGTTACAATTTGGCCGGAATTCTCGAGGCACCGCTCCTTTAAAGGAGCCAGGAAGTCACAATTCGTCTCAGGAATCGAACCTACGAGCCAAAAAATGAAAGTAGTACTCTCTATGAGTATCCGCAAATTTGTTTCGTTGTGAAAATACGCGAAATATTTGAGAAAAAATGCTTTGGGCGCTAAATCACGTTTTCGTCGGGGCTTCACATGTCGTAATTCCCTGCAGGCACCCAGTTCAGCGATCTCGGTGAGCCCGGGATCAATTTTTTCCGTCAAAATATCTAGAATCATCCGTACCGCACATCCGTTTCGTGCCAAAGTTTGTTCGGCACTATTTTTGATGCTCGTTCAGCTGCAAATCAAGTTGCGCAAAAAAGAAATCAAGAAAATGCCCGTTTGGCCCTGGTTACGCCTGGAAGGTAGCGTAAACCCCTGCACCGTACAGTTGCGTACAACGTCCATACGCGCTGCGTAGCAACATTCAAGCTTTTCGTGAAGGCGTCTTACATTTGCATTATTTGTGCACTTCCCGAAGGAAATGCGTTCCAAAATTTGTTCGAGACACTCGTGGAGGTCTCGGGGTTAAAGCTAACCTCAAACTTGGGTAATTAAACCAAAACTGTCGTTGGCTGGCCGCTCTTACCATCTGCCTTGACTCCAGGTGAGCGACTTTCCCTTGCGGCCACTTGCTGAAACATTATGATTTTCCGGCACGAATGGGGTCAGAATTCTGAAATTCAAGCGTTTTAACATAGAAGCTGGGACAAAAGTGCGGGCGAGGCAGTCGCGTCGCGGCCGCCAGCGAAATATAGTGAATCGTCGGGGCCGATTTACCGCATCGTGGTTCCCTTAAAAAAATTTTAAACGTTGCAAGCTCCTGGAATAAGTAGTCCGTAGTTCAGTCAGTGGCTTGTCGGGGCCCTTGAAAGCTACAGGCAAAATCCGTCATATGGCCGTAATCAATTGCGCCATGAAAGTCGGAAGACACAAGCTTCTAACCTTTTTGAGTAGTGGGGCGAAAAAGTATCTATGACCACCCGGCCATCTTAAACCGCAAGAAAATGCTAAATTTAACTACTCACGATCCGCTTACGTTATAAAAAAACGGTATTGCTTGTATTCTATGACTCCATACTTTCCAGAGCTGAATTTTACGCTTTCTCGATTTTTCCGTGGCCCAATCTACCTAATTCCTCCAGTTCCGCTGGCCATATATAAATCTCCTCCAGCATCCAATTTACTCGCAATCCCCATTAGCGCATCCCCATTCCCTGCAAAAAGTCGGGGGACCGTATCCATTTCTCCTCCCCTCAAATGATAGCCCGGCCCTCTTTTTGGCTGCGAGGGCCCTCCAGGGGCCCATCGATCCCTGTTTTCTTCTGGGGCCCTCTCTCTCTCTCTCTCTCTCTCTCTCTCTCCGGGGCCTTTCTCTGCCCCCTCTCTATCCAAATCATCCCTCACTCAGCCGCGGGGCCCTCTTCTGAATGTTCAGCTGTGCTTCTTCTGCTTCAGCCAGCCATTCCTGTTGCATTTTTTGGGTCCTTGGGCCCTTTTTCTCGCTCCCCTTTACCCAACAGCGACAAATTTATAGCCGCCGACACGCCTCATTTACGCCCTGGGGCTAGTGGGGCACATTCGCATCCCTTCGCCCCTTTTCTGGAGGTGGTGTTACTTTTTGCGTTACTTTTCGTGTTACTTTCTTGTATATAACCGCTTTTTGATGCTCGGCACAAATAGCTTAGCGGTTGGATGGAATAACCGAAAATTATTCTTTTATGTTTTGTGGTTCTTTAACCTGTTTTTTTGCTGCTTGAGTGAAGGCCAGAGAGAGCGTGAGAGAGAGAGAGAGAGAGAGAGAGAGCAAATTCGTAGCGTTTCCAGTTTTAAAATTGTAGAGATAATCTCAGGTCCCAAAAGCCGTCTGACGTCAGCAAGCGCGCATAAAATAAGCCGTGAAAATCTGGGGGCACATCGTATTCTATCCATCTCTCTCACTGGCTCTCTCTTCTCCCCTCCCTCTCCCTCTCTCTCCCTCTTTCTCTGTCTCTCTCTCTCTCTCTATGTCTCTCTCTCTCTCTCTCTCCCATCCCTCCAACGTCACAATATGTCCTTCTCCTCTCATTTTCCATCCATTTTTCAGAAGTCTGCCCCCCTTTCTGCTTTTCCATGTTCCCCCCGATTCGAAATGTCGTGGGTGGGCCCCATTTTCCGCCCCTGGGGGGGGGCACGGCGGCGGCTTTCCGCCTCGTTCACTTCCAAATTAGAATGGCTCTAGCTAGGGGAAAGGCAGGGAAAAGGGGAGAGAAAAGCCGATGTCTTTCGAATATTCTCACGGCCCGGAGGGCACCGGAGCTATGGTTTTTTGGGCGTGTTTGGACCTTATTTCGGTCTCTAAGCGATTTTTACTTTGTCACCGGAATCTCCAATTTATTTGAATCGACCTCAAAGAAACTTAAAGGTACTGGGAAACGCGAGAATCAATCCCTCACCTCCACTAAGCGTCGACAGTTACTTTTTGCCTATGAAGTCTCTGAAAAGTACGAAAACGTACCTTAGTTTGATGCGTAATGTTACTCATGATTCTGAGACTTCCTAGTTCTTTTAGAGAACGCTACGCTATTTCCAGGTTACGCTACTGTAGTGATAGCATACAGACACAGCCCAATCGCGAATATCCTGTGCTTGCGGCTGTATAAAACTAGGCAATATCGATCAAAATCCAGATTATCTAAAAGGCGTCTAAATTATAGTTTTGTAGCTTAAGTTTTTGATAACAAACTTTGCAGGGTAATTTTCCGGTAATGTCAGCAATTTTCTGCAAGAGCCGCGACCTTCAATTTTAATAAATTACCCGTTTTTTTTTTCTCTCCCTCCCTCCCTTTCTCCCCTCCCCCCCCTCTCTCCCCCCCTTTCCCTCCCCCCCCCCCTCTCTCTCTCTCTCTCTCTCTCTCTCTCTCTCTATCTCTGTCCCTTTCTCCAATATTCATTTCCAGGGTATGACCTACTAGAAAGAAGAACCTCTAAACCTCTAACCCTTCTAAAAAATGAGCGCCTTCTCCGACATCTTCAAGAAGGCCCAGGACGCCATCAGCAATTTGAGGGGTTGGTTTCACAATCGTTTTAGCTTGTTTGTGAAATTTTTTTAATTTTAACTTACCTTTAAAAATCCAGTCCACCCAAGCACTTCAGCCGAGATAGGTACCGGTAGATTTGGTTTTTGAGCGCAAATAAACCCGTGATAATCCCCATAGTAATGCGGCCTGTGGATTGATTGAGTTTTGTGCGTAGAGATTGGATCTAGATTTGTAAATTTCATTATTATACATACTTTTAGGAGGCGGCAACATCTTCTTGGGACGTGATGGCGACATTGTCTACAGCAAGAACAACGTCTGTGTGCACGATATTCTTGGGGAGGAGGAGGTGAAACCTGGGGTAAGTTTTAGAGTTCTGCTGCAGTTTTTTCACTTTTAAAGGGCTGCCGACGGCATGTGTCGATCCCCCCATCAACAAATTGGCAAGTAGCCAACAAGGCAGAAAGCGCGCCCTGGGGAGAGGCGCAGAGACATTTTCTTTCCAGCGCGTAACCGATTCACTATGCCGTCGGCATCCCTTTAAAGGGACAGACGAGGCACAATAATCGATTTTTTGGCAAAGGATTTTCTATGGATTTTGTCCCGGTCGCGACACGCAACGCGCAAGCAATCTTTCCAGCGTCTAGATTTTTTATCCATGAGAAGCGATCGCGTGCGTAGCGTGCCGCTGCCCCGAGCGTTACGTGCGGCGGTTGGCACGTTGCCTGCCGTTTGGAACGTCGCGCGTCGTGTTCCCGCGCGTCGCGCCGCACGGTCTTGCGCGCCTGGTGGGCCGGGGTATCAGGCGTTGCGTCCGGTGCCGCGCCTTGCGTGTCGCGGCCTCGAGCATCCGCCTCATAGTTTGGCGCGCTGCACCTCGCGTTCTTGCGCGTTGCGTGTAGCGATCTCGAACGTTGCGTCTCGCAGCCGCGCGTTTGTGGCCCAATCTGGCGCGCTGCGTCTCGCGTTCTCCCGCGTTGCGTCTGGAATCCTTCCGCGTTGCGGGTGGCGTTCTCCCGCGTTGCGTGCGTTCTCCCTCGTTGCGTATCGCGTTCTCACGCGTTGCGTGTCAGGTTTTCGCGCGATGCATTGTCGGGGTCCGAACGGCTAGGAGCCACTCAGCGACCCGATTACCCGGCTATCCTTTGAAAACTTCAAATACGAGAGAGATCCGCGCATTAATTTAATCGAAATAATCTCTAAATGGTAATTTTCATAATATTTTTTTCAGGAAGAAAACATCATCCACACCCCCGGCTACCTCTCCGTGCAATGCCAATCGGATGAGACGATCGGGGTGACGCTGGTCTTGCAGTGGCTACCAAACACAACGTTGCAGAAGAATCCGGCAAGGTATCGAATTTTAAGGAATATTCTTACGGCCTTAGGGTGCCAAATACTTTTCTGAAAATGGCTTATGTATCAAAAAAGCCAAAAATACCTTAATTAATCCAGGGTGAAGCCGCAATTACAGTAAAGCAAATAGCTAGCGCTGTAAAGCTGTTAGTGTATCCTTTTAAAGGGCCAGGCAAGGCATGGTTATGGTTTGTTTCTATCGAATTGCCGCGCTGTGCCGCGATTCGCAATATGCCCACCGCTAGCCCGTGATAAAAATGGCGTAATCAACGACGCGATGGAGACACAGGATATATCCATGCAAATTCATAGCCAAAAAATCGATAATTATGCTTTGTACTTCCCTTTAAAAATCATTTCCAGGCACGAGAAATACCTAAACTTAAGCCTTAACCCAAGCTTTTAAAATCCCATTGCATATGCAAATTTCTGAATTTTTAAGAGCATTTGGTTAAGTTTTCGAACGCCATTTTAGCATCCGCAGCGTCTCCCCAAGAAACAACGACGGCAAGAAGCGCAGCAACGATGTTTTTTCGGTGAGTCTTGCTTTTTATTGAGGGGATTCCCCGTCTGGTGGGCTATTTAGCGGGGTCTGATGGGCTATAACTAACAATTGTATCCGGCAATAATGACAAATAAAGGGGAGCCGTTTAGCCGGTACACGTCTCTGCCGCAGACACCGGCGATAATACGCCCAGCACCGAGATTACGGATGAGACTACGGTAGGTCGGGGAGGGGTGAATGGAAGTGTGAGACGATACGGAGATAGAAAAAACCGTGAGTGAGAGATAGATAGAGAAAGAAAGAGAGAGACAGTGAGAGTGATATATAGAGAGAGCTAGTGAGAGAGAGGGAGAGAAAGAGTGAGGGAAAGATACAGAGAGAAGAATAGAGAGAGAAGCGAGAAGCGACAGATAGAGAGCCAGAGAAAAAGCTAGAGTAAGCGAGGGGGAGAGAGAGAGAGAGAGAGAAGGAGAGAGCGAGAGACAGAGAGCGAGAGAGAGAGGATACAGAAAGCTCAAAACTTTTATTGGTCTGAAGCCCCACCTCTAACCTCAAAATCCAGAATCCAGATCAAATCACATCCGCTTAGAACCGAAATCCGCGAAAGGGCCGGTCAGGCCGGACAAGCTGGGTCGTTTCTTGTAGCTTTTGAAAGGGGCAGTGTCACCAAAAAAACCGTTCTTTTCATAAAATACGGTCGAATCCCTGCCATTTTGCGCTTGCTCATCCATATGCCTGGATTCCCAGCAAGTCTTAACCATTTTGCTTGAATACCAAAGCTCAGTCCCAAAATGTCATGTTTATAAGAATCATTCTGCGATATGCTTGCTTTCTTATCCCATTTGTCGTCATTTCCAGTCGTCCCCGAACTCGCCGGAGCTGCAGGTCGAGATGACGGGCGACATGATCACGGTGATGCAAATTACGGAACGTCCGACTTCGCTACACGTACGTAAGGATACGCCGACTATCCGGTGGTGTAGGTGGAGCATGGCGCAACTTTTTATATTTTTGCTAATTTCTAACCCAAGCTAAAAAAAGTTACTAAAAGCGTCGAGAAATCAGAAGTTTAAGTAAAAGTGGTCAAATCGTCGTATTTTTTTTTATTCCAAAGTTGAAGCAAAAGCTAAAAATGCGGAAAACAAGTCGTAAAATAGTATTTTTCAGAAACAAATTAACATTATTTAATTTGTAAGCAACACAGAAGCTAGATACGGCCTTGCAGTACACCAAAACCTACGCTACGATGCGCGACAATAGGCTACGATACGCCTCTCAATTTAGAAAAGACCACACGGACCCAAAACTGCGACTCCAGCGATTGGAATCCCGGATTCTGGCGGCGGCGGAGGATTGGGCGTACCGTCGATAAATCTGATCCCAAATACCCCAGTCGATCCGTCCACCTTTGACGATGAGAATTGCCTCGTCGTGAGGACGCCGGATGTTACTGTAAGTTGCTTTAGTCCCTAAAAACTGCCTATTTTATCTGCCTATATACCTATTGGCTCCGCTAAATTATTTTTCTCCGTTAAATTTTATTTCACAGCTCAAAGACTATAATTTAATTGTTTTTCATTTAACTCGCCATATAATCGATACTTTTGTCTTGTTAGTATTCCGTTCCAAAACCCTCTGTTTTAGTGTGAGAACCTTGATATCCTGGTAAGACTCCCAGTAGGATGCTTTTTTCAGTTTTCCACTAGAAGCCGCTTTTTAAGTTTCTCCATTAGCGATTTGCATATTTGATTTGTACATCCGAATGTGTGTAAGAGTGTTTAGTAACTGTAGAAATAATCTAATTTTATGATCTATGTGAACATTTGCACCTTTTAGTCCGTCCAGTCGGATGCGACGTCTGTCTCTTCGCAATCTACCTCCGGGGCTGATGAGCTTTCGGATAAAGACGAGGGTAGCAGTTCCTGTGATGAATCTGTTGCGGACCCGAAAGGTTAGTGATGTTGAGTTGAAAGGTGCTGGAAAATCCAAAAATCTACCCATTGCATCGACTAGAGCTGGACAGCTACGCGACACTCCTAACAACGGAGGCGAGGGCAGGTCAAAAAAGTTCCTATGCTATCAAAATCCGAGCTGTTTGAGCAAGAGCATTTTTAATAAGACCGACACCTAGCCGAAAAGTGAGGTGGATTTTAGCCATGATACGTTTTTTTTAAATGAGACGACATGATCGTGAGACGCCTTTTTCGCAATAGGGAGATGAGCGAGAGAGAGAGAGAAAGAGAGAGAGAGAGAGAGAGAGAGAGAGAGAGAGAGAGAGAAGGAAAGCAAGATTAATAGAGCTATACTAATTCAGAACTTGCCTCGATCCCGGAAAAGCTCAGAAATGAGTGCGCCACCATCCTATCCGCCACTCCCGAGCAGTTCGCCCTGGAGCACGATATGATTCTGAAGGATCAGAAGGTTTGGATTTAAACTATGACTGGAAATCTACAAAACCTTTGCGTTCCGCGTCCCTTTAAAACGATTTTTAGGATCAACAAGACGACGGCGCGGTGGCCATTGCCAGAGGCCGAGCCATGTTCAACAGCCGCGCAAGTTCAGCGAGTCTATTTTCAGTGAATTTGGGTGGGTTTTAAAGCGTTTTTTAGTATTTTAATTGCTTTAGGAAAAATGCGGACGATGAGGCTGTTTTTCTCGAATCCGGAAAATACGTCGGGGCAGCTTGTCATAGGTAAACTGGAGCTAGGGAAGCTGGAGATTACTTGTTTCTAGCCACCCACGACTCGCACTACAAAATTCTCCACTTTCACCACGGTGGGCTCGACAAGCTGGCGCAACTCTTTGAGCAATGGTCGGCGATCAAGGCGAGATCGGTGAAAGAGGTACGGTAATAGAGGCGCAAGTTTGAGATTTAAAGGGACATGCAAGGCTTGACCGGAATCTTTGTTGATATGGATCCTGAAAGAATTCGCTAGGTTCGCTGTTCGACTAGACTTAAAAGGCGATCCGCGAGCCACCCGAACAGACCCAAACATGGCTTGGCACAGTTTTTTTCGACCCTGTTTTTTTGACGGCATCGGGAAGAGCATAGTCAAATTAGTAGGGCCGCATAGTTTTGAAAGTTTAAAAAGTTTATTTTTAGGGTTAAAATTGGAGTCAAAGTTGCCGACCCTCAAAAATTATCTCGAAAGTTACTGAACCAAATTGGCTGAAAAGTTGTCACAGTACCTAATTTGGGATGCTGATCATTTCTCTAATACATCGAAAAGCACGAAAATGAGCGGAACATGGCTAAATCGCGTACCCAAAACAGTTTTTCAGGGTTTTGTATTTTACGGGTTCTTGGCGGTCCGTTGAAAATACCCTTAAAAGATGCGCAAAAAAATTATATATCGAATGAGGTATTTTATACCGGGCCGACAGTAACCCTACTCTTGCTATAAAGCAACTGCGCAAAACAGCCCCAAAATGGGTCAAAAGCCTCAAAAATGACCAATTTTGAAATCGAATATATCAAAACATATCTTGAGAACGAGCTGAGTCCATTGCAAAAAAGAGCAAAAAGAAATATTGCTTTTGAAGGGGGCTGGGATTGAATCGCGGCCCTTGGATTGGTAGGCGAGCACTCATGCAATCCACCACGGCCCCAGAGAGGGCTTCCAGGCGAAGGGTCCGAGTTCGATTCCTCCCCGGATTTCAGCCTATATTCAGAAGCCAAATTTCTTTTTGCTCTTTTTTGCAATCGACTCAGCTCGTTCTCTAGATATGGTTTGATATATTCGATTTCAAAATTGGTCATTTTTCAGGATTTTGACCAATTTTGGGGGCTGTTTTGCGCGCAGTAAATGCTTTATAGCAAGAGTAGGGTTTCTGTCGGCCCGGTATAAAATACATCATTTGATGTAGAATTTTTTTTGCGCATCTTCTAAGGTTATTTACAACGGACCGCCAAGAACCCGTAAAATACAAAACCCTGAAAAACTGTTTTGGGTACGCGATTTAACCATGTTCCGCTCATTTTCGTGCTTTTCGATGTATTAGAGAAATGATCAGCATCCCAAATTAGGTACTGTGCCAACTTTTCAGCCAATTTGGTTCAGTAACTTTCGAGATAATTTTTGAGGGTCGGCAACTTTGACTCCAATTTTAACCCTAAAAATAAACTTTTTAAACTTTCAAAACTATGCGGCCCTACTAATTTGACTATGCTCTTTCCGATGCCGTCAAAAAAACAGGGTCGAAAAAAACTGTGCCAAGCATTGTTCGGTCCTCTCGCAAACGGCCTTTTAAATTTACCGTCTCCCGGAAGTTCTAAAGATTTTTTGCCATTTACGCTATTTTATCGGGATTTGGCCACGCCATTTAATAGCGCATCAAAAATATACTAAAACTTGTAATTACAGCCCAAATAATTTAAGCTAAAAAAAGTTATAGCAAAAAAACTTTTGGGCACTTTCGGCTCTGGGAGTCTGGATGAACGCATCGCGTGTGCGTTGCATACGTTGCATTGCATAGACATACCTTGTCCGTCCCTTTAAAATACGGACAAATCTGCTTCCAATTACGCGATTATAACGTGAGTTTAGGGCAGCCCCTCCCCGGCCCCGGATCGTCATCTCTTGATTTGCCAACCTGCCGTGAAGAAGAACGAGCTCGATCCGGAGGATGGGCTGTTTGAGAGGGTGCATTGGGATTACTGGAAGACGTTCAAAAATGCCGAGGGCGCAATTCATGATAGTCAGACCATCCGGAAGGTTAGTAGTAGCGCTAGGGAGAGGACAACTCTGTCGTCGTCGCGCGCTTACAGTTCGTTAGTGCAAGCCTTAGAAAAACCGTAGACGCGTATGCACGCGTCTACGAACCCAGAGCCAAAAAAAGATTCGATAGCGTTAATATTCCTGTAATTTCAGGCCCTCTACTTTGCTTCAATGGAGCCGAATCTGCGAAAGGAAATCTGGCCCTTCCTACTCCGGGTGTACCCATGGGAATCGACAGTGGAGCAGCGGGAAACCATCAGAAATGACTTGTTCCTGGAATATCAGAATATTAAGAGGAAGAGGTTGGCACTTTTTGTTTCTAAAAGTTTATCTGTTTTTAGACTGAAGAAAGCGGCCAGCTCGAAGCACTGGGACGGGCTTGAGAATACGGTAGTGAAGGATGTCGTGAGGACGGATCGGAAGAATCCATTCTTCGCGGGGGATGAGAACCCGAACGTCGACATCATGAGGTATGTAGAAATGAGCCTTTCTCTAATCGTACACGTCATGTAATTTGGCGCATTAGGGAAAGTGCATGACTCAAAACGACGGCGAGAACTATAAAAGAACGTAAAAAGCTAGCAAAAGACCTCACACCTTAAACTGGGAAAATCGGGGCAAGATTGCGGAGAACCTTTCAAGCCTTTGAAAATGTGGATATTTGGTAATAAAGAATTTTTTAAATTGTAAACACCGGGCAATTACTAGGCGTACCAGGCAAAATGGCCCCAAACCAAAGCGACAAATATAAAAATTCCGAAAAGTTCAAGATACCCTCGAAAAAGTAAGTATCCAAAAAATCTGGGAGGATTTAAGGCTAGAATAGATCCTTTAAGCCTCTTAAAAATTATATAGCCATAAATTGCAGAGATATCCTCCTCAACTACGCTGCCATGTATCCAGATGTTGGATACATTCAGGGGATGTCTGACCTTCTGGCTCCTCTGCTCAGCACATTAAAGTAATCTTTTGATTCGGATTTAACGATGAGTCTCCAGAGATGAATCTGAGGTCTATTGGTGTTTCGTCGGGCTGATGCAACAGACGTTGTTCAGCAAGTCGAGTGAAAGCCTGATGGAGCAGAATTTGGTAAAAAATAATGTTATCGCTGGCAATGTTAAGTCTAGGAATACCTTCGTGAGCTCATCAAGCTCCTCGTCCCTGAGGTGTTCAGCTACCTCTGGCAGCTCGGTGGTGACTCGTTGCAGTTCATGTTTGTGCACCGGTGGATTCTGCTCTTTTTCAAGGTATGGCCCCAATTTCAAATTCTGCGTCCTAATCTAATTTGTTTTCACGTACTTTATTTTGCATACAGCTGTATTTTATACACATTTTGCTCGCATTAAAGGGAGCGTGACAGGCTAGCCATCAATTTATGCAATCTGATTTTAGAGAGAATTTGCCGAATCTGATGCGCTTCACATCTGGGAGGCGTGTTGGGCCCGATACCGTACCCAATACTTTCATCTGTTCGTTTGTGTCGCGATTGTATCCATTTACGGTAAGTAATTATCTAAAATTTGACGTATCTACGCGCTCTCTCTTTCTATCTCATCTCTCTCTATCTCTCTCTCTTTCTCTCTCTCTCGCTCTCTCTGTCTTACTGTCTCGGGCTTCGATAGTCGAAGCAACCACAACATTCATCCATTTATCCCTAATTTGACCTTCAGGGCCCGACATCATCTCGCAAAACTGCCGCACGACGAGATCTTGCTCTATTTCTCTTCCCTAGCCAACCACATGGATGCTCGAGTGGTGTTGAAGAAGGCCAGAGGTCTTTTACACCATTTCGTGAATCGGGAAAAGATTCCGTGCTCTTTGGCAGGTAAGAATTCACAGATAATTACTCCCTTTTTTAATTTTTAATGAGGGACATTTTAAAAAATGGGTTTAACGGGACCGGAAATTGAATTTTTCAGGAGTCGTCGAGTCGAGCGGGATGTCACAGTGGGATTCGCACAAGAAGCTACAGGCCTATGAATGTGTCAAGGTAGGAAAACCGTTTCTAACGGAATCTCTTACCCTCTCTCTCTCTCTCTTACCCTCTCTCTCTCACTCTCTCTCTCTATCCCTCTTGACAATCCTTAGAGCTTCTTTAGGGATAAACTCAAGCGCTTCAACAATTTTATTGAAGTTTTTCAGAAGCACGGCGACGACGAGCCATGCCCATACGCCTAGTTTCTCTTCCGTCCTCCATTAATGCGGTAATATATCGACAATGGCCATATCGAACCCTCATCCATTCGTGTGTGTTTGTGTGTAATACTTATCTGTATTGGGATAGATTAAAGAAATAAAGCATACATTTTTTTTGGTAATTATACCCAGCAATAGAAGGAAGCGCACAAGGTTCTTCGGCTCGTGAAACACACAAAAAAGTGGACAGTGTACTGTAATCGAACCCAAGAAAATTTGCATATATTTGTACAATTTTGAGATCTATCGGTTGTAGTTCAAGCTCGTGAATTTGTGAGTAGAAAGAGAAAGGGGTGAACCGAATCATAGATACCCTAAAAGTTGGCTAATTGGGTAGGGGGGTAAATGTTGCTAGTTTTCAATGTTATTTGGGTTAGCAGTTCGTGTCCGGATTCTGGGGCTTCGGGCCCGTGGCGAGGCATCAGCACGCTTCTTGGCCTCGGCGGAAGCAGTGGTCTGGAAATGGACGGTTTAAGGGGCGTGTGAGAGCTTCATATTCCGCTATAGTACCCACTGTATTTCCTGGTCTCGCTTTGGCTATCCGCCTCTCCTCTCTCGCTGACTCTCCATGTCGCTGTTGCTCGCTCTCTCTCGACCTCTCTCTTTCTCTTTCTTGCGCTCTCTCCCTCTCTCTATCTCTCTCTCTCGCTCGCTCGCTCTCTCTCACTCGCTCTCTCTCACTCTCTCTCTCTGCCTCTTTAAATGTGCACGGACAGTAAGCCTTACCTTGATCGGCGCTGGACCCTGTCGTTGAGGTGTCGAAGCGGTTATCACCCTCCCCGATGGCTTCGGTTGTGGTATCCCAGTCCTTGTTGAACTTGGCGCGGCGGTAGTATTACTTTTAGCCGGAGCAGAAGCAGTAGTTGGAGTCCGCTTCGGCACAGTTGCCACCCTCGAAGTCCCAGCCAATGGTGGATCGGCTTTTGGCATCGGCTTCACCACGCTTTTTGGCTTTTCCCCATTGTCTTTTAACGGGGATGGGCCTGGAAGGTTTGCTAAAAAGCGCTCAATTACCGCATGCAGATTTTTTTGCTTACCTGTCCTCACCGGATCGTTGTGGATGATGGTGTGCGTGTTTTGGCGTTCCATTTTGTGCTGAAAATTGGGGAATAAGCATAGACAATTGCCGGTTTTTCTAACTACGAATAATTCAAGAATTTTGATCGATAATTTGATGCTTTTTTGGTACTGTTTAGCTTGTTTTCACTACGTAATCGATTGAGTTCTGCTACATTTAGTAACTTTAGCGAGCCAGAAATATTTGTTATATTCCTTTCCAGTACTATGGAACGCGTTTATCGTTACGTAATCGATTGGATCAAGCGACTTTTAGCAAATTTTAGCCTGAATTTGGAAAATGGGCTTTTTTGTCGCTTTTGAACCGAATTTAATGCGTTTTCCATTTTGCAATCGATGTTTTGAAGCATTTTTAGTATTTTTCGTAATTTCTTTGTAAGCTCGATTCACGATAAAAAAATAATTTTCCTACCTTTTTTGGGCAGTTTGATTTGTTTTTTATAGCGTAACCGATTGAGTTGAGCAATTTTGAACATTTTTTGAGCAATTTTTGAGCTTGATCATCAGTTTTGAGCACCAACTTTCCGCATGCACTATTCAATTCTTGCCAAACAACTTCTTCACCCGCCCCATAAATCCGTGCAATTTTTTCCGGCCAACCTCTTCGAGATCCTGGATCCGCTTCTTTGTCGGCGATTTTGATTTCGTAGCCGGTTTCTGAGCAGTTTGAGCAGCTGCAGCTCCTTTCTTCTCGACCCTTTCGGGCTTGGCTTCAATGGCTTCGATTTCCGGGCCCTTCGAGGTGCTGGGTTCGGGTTCTGGCGCGATTTCGACGGGTTTTGGAGGTGCCGGCTTCTTAACTTCCGCATCTGGCTGTTTTGGCTTGGGTTTTTCGGCATGAGCTTCAGCTTTGGCTTCAGTTTTCGCTTCCGGTCTTGGTGTTCTTGGTGTTACTTCTTTCACAGTTCTTGGGGTAGATTCTCTTGAAGTTGCTCTGGATGAATTCCGGCTTGATCGCGGTCTGGGAATTCCGGATTCTGCTGGTTGAGGCGGCTTTTCTTCCTGAAACCAGTTAGTTATTGTTAGGTACAATAAAATTTTCTTACCTTTGTGGGCGTTGGCTGCCTTTGCGGTTTCCTGGGGCTCTGCTGCCTTGGGCTTTGCTTCTTGGCTTCGGCCGATTGAGTTGTTTTATTTTCTTGGCCGGTCCTTGGTGATTTTACAGCGCTGGTGCTGGGTTTCGGTTCTTCGAAGACTTCCTGAAAATTAATTTTAGATTTTGTTTGGTTGTTCTTGTCCTCCGTTACGATCTATTCAAAAACTCAAGCTCAGCAAACCGAAGAACCCTCAGCTTCACTATCTCGCTCTCACCCCCTCTTTGCGCCTATTTACCTCTCTCTCCCTGTCTTTCTCTCTCCCGATTTTTCTCTCGCTTTCTCTCTCTCTTTTTTCTCTCCTTGGTCCCGACTCACCCGCCCACTCACGCTTTCCCCTATCACTTTCTTCTGCCCTCTCTCTATCTCTCTCTCTCTCTCTCTCTCTCTCTGTCTCGGCATATTGATTCTACTCACGTCACTCCTCTCTCATTCTATCTCTCCTGTCTCACCCCTCCTCTCTTTCTATCTCGTTCTCACTGATAGATACTACACCAGGGATCGTTGCTAGCCCGCCCTAACTCCGTACCCATCCCTTCACGTACCCACCTTCTCATCCTCAATCGGCTCCGACTCGGGATCCCTAGCTTTTTGCTGTATCATCGTCAGCGGCTTGTGCCGCTCCAAACTCCTTCCCCTTTCGGGGGTGTACAGATGGCCCATTTGCACTCCAGCCGATGCACTGCGTTTGTATGCCTAAAGTATAGAATTTTCTACGGACCAAAAGCGATACTATCAATGGGTAAAAAATTATTTTGCAGCCATTTGGGACAGAGCATGCTCTATGAGGTATTTTTTTGCGGCGCTTCATGCTCTATTTTAAGCACACTCGAGCTCAAGGAGAAATTAGTGAAAAAAATTTGGATTTACAGGCAAGCGCTAGGTATATTTTTACACATAATATTGAAGTGAGAAGGAGTGTAGCGGAATTTTCAGATGCAAAAATTAGATTTTCAGGAATTTTTTGTCTATAAAAATTAGAATTACCGCTACGAAAAATGCTGATTTGATTGTTATGACCAAAAAATTCCGCTAACACCTCCTTACACCTCCAGGTTCTACGTATAAAAAATACAAGGGAAAATATTCATATAGCAGCTACAATTTTAATAAGTAACCTGTGGATTTTCCGTATTTCCGGGAGCGCTCTTCTAAAGAAAAGGCACTTGAAATGGAGTTGGTTAGCAGAAATGTAGAAGTCAACAAATTAGGGATTCAGCAAGGGAGAGTGAAAAGAAAAACGACCCGAGGAAGCCACTGATCGCGGCAGGCACACAGTAAGCCAAAAAGGCAGAACCAAAAAAAATAAAATTATGTACCCGATTGTTGCTGCTGAAGCGCGGCATGGAGGCTTTTGGTTGGCGCATTTCGACGAAGATGCCGGCTGGAAAAAGTATTTAGAAAGAGAGAGAGAGAGAGAGAGAGAGAGAGAGAGAGAGAGAGAGCAGAGAGAGAAAAGGAGAGAGAAAGAAGAGAGAGAGTGATAGAGATGAGATAGGGAGAGAGAGAAAGCCATCACGAGAGAGAAAGAGATAGAGAGAGAGAGTGTATGGGTGAGAGAGAGAGAGAGAAAGAAGCGAGGGAGCGAGAGCGAGAGAAAACATTGGGCGAGAGAGTGAAGACAGAGTGTACGGTAAGGGTGTGTGAGGAGGAGAGCGAGAGAGAGAGACGAGAGAGACAGAGAGAGAGAGAGAAAATAAGGCAGTGAGCAGAGGAAAGAGGGAGAGAGATAAGGAGAGCGAGAAAGCATAGAAATTGTATTGTTTTATGAAATCAAAAACCCACTCTCCCTTATCCGCACTTGATCCCTTTCATTCAACAAATTCCAAGCTTCGGCCCGGACCACCGAAGCGGCGTAGTGCAGCAGGTGCTTATCAACAAGTTCGTAGAGCCGACGGACGAGAACGTAGAACCTCTATAAAATACAGGAAGCACTAATTTACCGCATTTTTTGCCTACCGGGCTCCACTCATCGATCGGAATCGACAGCGTCTTCTTTGGAGATGGTGGGACGCTTTGAATCTCGGTCAGCAGGTCAGCTAGTCCCAGGTACGACTTGATGGCGACGTCGGCGGACAAGCTGTGGACCAGGGTGGGGAGGATGTCTTCGAGGATTCCCAGGTTTAGGGCGAGACCCTGAAAACCACGGTATTATGGCCGAAATTTAAGGCGTTCTTACTTTAAACGGACCGCTAATGACTTGGAAAGTCCATAGCCAAAAAATGCTCTCCGCCCTTAAAGACGTAAACTGCCCTACTTACCTTTCCTTGGGCTGCAAAACTCTTGCTGGTGATGACCAAATGGAAAGAGTGGATCAGGTATTGCATTCCCACGTCCAGAATATCGTTGACCATGTTCAGAACGGTAAAAGCCGCTTCGCTGCGAGACCGAGAAAACGCGACTTGGAGCCGTTCACAGCCGAGAATCGTTTCGATGAGTGTCTCGTCATCCTGGAATTACTTAATCGTTTTCGTTTTTCACCTCTCTCTCTCTCTTCTCTCTCTCTCTCTCCTCTCTCGCTCTCTGACTTACCAGTTGTTGTATAACTCCTTCAAAGCATTCCTTCAGCCACCTCTCATTCAAATGCATAAATACCCTCCCTTTCCAGATTCGGGCAAAGTACTTGGCTTGCCATTGGATTGCCTAAAAACGTTATTAGTAACTTACGTATCTTAACAAATACCTCTTCATAAAGTGGCTTTAGGCATCTAATGGAATAAAATTGTGGGAGAGCGTCAAAAACGGCAGAGACGCAGACGGCGCATGGCTAAAACATGATATTTTCGCCCGCCCTGGATCTCTCTCTCTCTCCCTCCTTCTCGCGCTCTCTCTCTCTTACCCTATGGAACCAATGACATTTCGTAGCTTTCAGATGTAAGCTCACAACTTCGATGAGATCTTTCAGATTCAGATGAGTAGCCAGGGCGAGGACCTATAAAACAGGATAAAATCTCCTGTCGTCCAAAAACATGGTGCTCACTCTATAAGGCTCACCTCCCATGTGTCGACCTCATCCGGAATCGCCGTCAGCCCACCGTAGAGGAAACAGAGCAAAAAGTGGACGGAGGACTTGTTGTAGCCCTTCAGCTCGATTCGCCGGGATTTTTGGAGTTGTTGGCGGAAGAAGGGGCACGTGGCGGAGAGGATGCATCTGAAAATGGATGAGATGAGACAGAGAGAGAGAGAGAGAGAGAGAGAGAGAGAGAGAGGAGAAAGAGAGAGCGACGGACCTATGCGCAAACAGCTCCCCGTTATCACATTTTATCACCACATCCGAGTCCTTATTGTCGATGTACATCTCCAGCAAATCGGAGGCTAATTTGCATGAGGGAGTACGATCCGCAATAGGCGCATTACCTAAAAAAATACCGTAGTTAAAGGTACGGTAGGTATGATACGATAGCCCAACTAGATTTTCTTGACGTTAAAAACCCACCATCATGATTCGGCGTCATGTCGATGCTGGTTAATGACGAGAGAGAAGCAACAGACAGTCTTTTTGCTATCATGGCTCTTCCCCGAACTCCTTCGGGTACGCCTCCATACATCATACGCTCTCCGGGAGAAGTTGACTCGTCGAGCCCGATGAACATGGAGAACATCGGCTGAAAGAGGCTTGATGAGCATATAAAGGAATAGAGACACAACAAATCTGATGCTAATTAAGGCGATTCCCATACCTTGTGAATATTACTACGCCTCCTGCTCTCGGTCTCGGTCCTCTCGCCATCATCCGTCGAGTCCAAGCGGATGAATTTTCCCATCGTAGCTAAAAAAAAATAATTCTGGTTTTATTAAATGAGTATTAAAATAATTATTGACATTTTGTATTTATACATATAGTTTTGAAAACTCTAAATTGCAAAAATCGTGTAAATGACTTACTTTCCTGTCTCGAACTTTTCCGCCTAGCAGGTATGCAAGTACCATCTTCGTCTTCTTCCGGTATGTCCGGCCCTACCTGGAAATACAATGTTGTCCTCGGACCATATCGTTCTCTCTCCCTCTCTCTCGCTCTCTCTCCCTCTCTCTCTCTCTCTCTCTCTCGACTTACATCTGATCTCCCGCCAATCGAGTACAGCGATGAGTTCATCGGGGAATGGGAGGCAATGTCTCGAAAGGAGGTCATCATTGGGATTTGCTAAAAAAATCAGGAATTTCTTTGAAAAGTGGAAAGAATTACCGTAAACTGCTGATGCTGATTGTGTTGTTGGGATGAATGTGGCTGGGGGACGTCGCCTTTGGGGAGGATGTGCTCTTCTCGATCCTGAGAAAAAATTTGATATTAGGACTGGCGCATTTCCTTGCAAAATACGTTATAAAAATATTGCGTTTTTTCTTACCTGGGCCTTAAAATCCTCCAAATCCGTCGAAGCATCCATATTGAAGGAGGCGTTGGAGTTTCGAGAGTCGGAATCTCCTGAAAAAAATTGGAATCTAAATCTTTCGACATTTTCAGGACCCTCATGCTGGTCAATTCGATAGATTTGAACTTAGGAACCAATAAGAAGCCCTGGATAAATGGACGGTGGGTGGGTGGGAGCGGAATTCGATAATTTTTTCATTGCCAGGTTTGTGCCCTCTGTCCGAAACTTACCCCATACCAATATCCTTGGCACATTAGGCATTGGCAACAGCCGATGCTTGCGGCAATTTGTGCACACTGTTTTGGTATGGTTTTTAGGACAGATGTTACATTAAAGTGTTTTAATCAAATTTTGATCTCAAAACCCTATTTTTTTTACTTTTCCTTTCAACTATTGCTCTGATTTTTGTAGGTTCATGGTTTCAAAAAAAAGTTGATTATCTGAGACTGTTTAGGAGTTTGTTAAAAAGGAATAATAATAGCAATTATATCATTAGTGAGGTATTATTTGACCTATCCTCTGAACTCTTACCTCAAAAAAAAGTGTTTTTGGGTTGGGTTGAATTGCAATTTTTAGCAAATGTTTTTTACAAAAATCCCCTATAAGAGTTTTACATGAAATCTGCAAAGTATAAAACACACTGGGTTCCTCGTCGACCGTTTCCCCGACGTCGGGCGGAAACTGGGCGATCTCGTCTTCTGTGTACACAGAATGGATGAAGAACTCCAGCCCCGACGAGTCGATGTCACCAACTGCTACCTGGACATGGAAAAATTGATCAAGCTTTTTTTGATACTTTTGGCTTTGTCCCTTTAAGGACCAGCCAAACTAGCCAAAATCAAAAATTAAAGGGCACGTTCAGGGACGTTTTTTTGGAAAAAGCAAAGATTTTTGCCCGGCCGGGATCGAACCCGGCCCCCGCCGCGGCGCGGATGGAAGCCAGTCAGCCCAGCTACAACCTGGCGAGGGGACGAGGCGCCCCACGCCGCAAAGGAGGGAAATGGCCTGTCACAGCACGGGCAGGCAGTGCGCGCCGTCCCTACGTCCATAGGGTGTACACGTTGGGACGAGTATACGGCCCCTCCCTGAACGTGCGCTTTAAGTGCCGTTGACCCTACCATCATCTGAATCTTACCTCTCTAATCTTCCCTCCAACCGCCGGTCCCATCGCGACTACGGTAGGCTCGATGTGGCGCTGATAAAATCCGGGAGCTCGTGCTCGTAGTATGCACTCATGGGCCGGCAACTTTTTCCCGTCAGCCGCCACGAGGAGTAAGTCTGCGGAATCCATGTTTCCTACCTAAAAATACGAATCTTCTAAAACCCTTATTTTGCTTGATTAGATTTCACTTCAAAGACTTCAGGTATTCCGCGAAAACCACTTGGACTTTTGACACGAACTGGCATGCTATTACGGGCTCAATTTTATTTATAAAAAATTTACTTGAACGCGACGTTTTAGCTATAGAAAAAATAAGGATAATTAAGATACAGCGTACCAGCTAAACTCGGAATTTTAGTTTCTAAGCGAAAACAAAAGTTTCAGAGTTTTACAAGATTTTCTTGAGATTTCAGACCAATTAGCAACTCAAAAATACTTTAGGTTTAAAAAATAGCTATTTTATACTATTTGGAAAGAAAAAATTCCTAAAAAGTGCTAAGAATCCCAAAATCTGCATTTTGTCGGAGGAATTATTCGTCAAAAATCAATTATCGCAAAGATTTGGCTTCACAAGCTCTTTAAAACAGCGCTAACGATTTTTGGTATACAAAATTTCAGACTTATTAAAGCTCCATAACCATCAAAAAATCCCCTACCAGTGCGGCCATCTGTGAGCGTATCTTGTGCGCGAGCTGGTTCTGTAGCTTTTCACGAGCGTAGCCGTACTGCTCCCAAACGGCGGCCGAGCAACGCATCAGCCCATGCGGACGCTGAACATCATAGCTGCCTTATTTTTTTGGGAAATAGAAATAAAAAGGATTCTCGAGACAGGCCGTTCATATCCAACGAGGTGGGGGCTGTGTAAATATGGGGGTAGAGGGGATGATTGAGGACCCGGGAATGGCCATCCATATCCGGAGAAAAGGTAACAATTCGTGTTACGAGGGCAACGCTTCAGTTGGTTTGGCGAAATTTAGGAAATTCTTTTAATTTAAAACATTTATGACTGTTTTTTCGAATGCGTAAATGTGCCATAGAAAAGCAGTATGAGCGGAAAGCATGGAAAATGTGATTTCGCGCCATAATCCCGGCAGCCACAAACCCGAATGCCTAAACCCGACAGACCGAAATCCAGAGTGCGTAAATCGCGACACGCCAAAATCCCGACAGCAACAATCACGGCAGTCTTAACCCCGACAGCCAACATCCTGTAGTAGATACGCTTAATGGTTGTGGTACATACGCTTAATGGTGCCTGCGGCACTATTATCTGCCCTCTCGGGCCGACTTGGTTCCGTCCCTTTTTCATGCTTTATAATTTTTAAGAATCATTTTTGTTAGGGTCTGTATCCGCGCCGGCCGACTTCCTTTCTCGGTCTATCCCGCCCCAGTTTTTATATGACAATTTAAGTTACTCCAATAAACCCCTCATAATAAGTCCGTGGGTTAAAAATACACTTTATACACTAAGACCTTCTCATGAGTTTCCTCCAAGTCAAAAGAGTCTCAACGTCACAAATTCGTATCCTTAGTCGTAGTTAGTATCTGGGACATCTTATCGCACAACCTATGGCGCGGAGCCAGTTAGGTTAGGATTAGGGTTCCTAACTAGAAGAGTAGTAACAGCCCCAACATGGGAAGATCGTAACTGGGGTGTGTCTCTGGCATAGCGCCCAGACCCACTCCGTTATGACAATCCTGAAGGCCAAGATCCCGACCGAGAAACCCCGACGCCAAAATCTCAACTGCCAAATGCCGACAGACGAAAATTCATACGGCCATAATCCTCGCAACCATAGTAGCGACAGCCGGAATCCGGACAGCAAGAACCACGACAGCCTCAATCCTGACAATCAAAAATCCCGACAGTCCAAAACCCCGACATGCAAAATCCCGACGGCCAAAATCCCGATACATACTTGAAGTTACTTTGAATGCTACTTCATCTTAAACTGCTGTTTGCTTGTCGGGATTTTGGCTGCCGCGTTTCTCGAGCCGTCGGGTTTTTGGCATGTCGGTAATTTCGTTCCCGGGATTCAGACTATTGGCTTTCGGCATTTTTACTGTCTGGATTGCTGCCTTTTTTTGGAAAGTTTGCTAATGACTGAGAATATTTCCTCGTCCGGTACTAGGATTCCCGGTCTTTTAATCCCTCAAACTGAAATGGAGCTTTTCCGAAGAGTGGAATTACTGCCACAGCCAAGTTTTGTCAAAAACTAATTTAAAACAAGGCCGCGACGACGCTGGGAGCAACCTTTGTCTTGTGCCCCACTCCTAGCTGAAATTTGAGCCACACGCGAAAAACATGCGGAGGGTTCTTCCCTGGCGACGAGGACAAGGAAGTGAAAAAACGACAAGGAATAGGATAAAAACTTGAAAAAAGAACCGAATGCTTAAATAAAACTTAAACTGTTGGAAAAGAAGTCGTTTCCAACCTGAAGCCCAAAAAACTCGAAAACCCTCCCAAAAAGTGACGGGACAACTTGAAGGATGTCCCAAACATGGGTGTTAGGGGGCCTTGGAAGTGGGGCATTTGCGGCTTTAGCGTGAGACAATAGGGGTCGATGACCAAAAGAGGAGAGAGAGAGAGAGAGAGAGAGAGAGAGAGAGAGAGAGAGAGAGAGAAGGGAGCATCCCCTCCTTTCTGAGGAAATGGTGTGAATGCACAAGCCCCGGAGGGGGCAGAGTATCGAAACGGAATTCTTTGGAAAAGAGGAGCAAGAGAGGAAGAGGGCCCTCTGAGGGGGTGGAAGTCGATGGCCGTGTGGT